AATGCGCTAACATCAACACATCAACACACAACATCTGGACATATTTATAGAGACACTCTAAAAATCGTCGTAATTTTCGTTCTTGCCAGTGAATCTGTCTGAAACTTTGCTGTATGGTGCGCATGTAAGCCTACCATAACTACTCAGAACGGCTTCCAATCCCGTTGATTTCGAACGGAGAAAAATGGAAAAATTCGAAAAAGCCTGTTTTGCAAGCTGGACATAATTATAAGGACACCTGGCCTTTTTAAAAATTATCGCATTCCTTGACTCCCAAATTTTTTTGTAGAGTTGCATCCCAGAATATGAAACTTTTGCAGCACCTAGGACCTGTCATGCTACACAAGGAAAGGTGATCCTCGCATTTTTCGTTTCCAAAGGCATCAGAAGTCAAACTGCGTCAACAAACAGCTGGTTTGAGGAGTTTTCAAGCCCGCGTTCATTTCAAATGACAGTCCCTGAATACGCTTAGCCTTTTTGAATAGATAAGGTGAAGAGCGCTTTCGCAAACTCTGCGCAATCGCTGATATTGACAATCAGACTCCAACCTCACCATAGGGTTGTCGCGCTTTTGCACCACAAAACTCACTTTATAATGTTCGTGAAGTGATGGACTCGATTTATTACACTGTCTCATGGAGATGCATCTTTTGCAACTACTTTTAGATTTTTTTCTAGTGCTGCAGTTCCCATTTAGATCTGAAATACTTTCAACGAAAATTCAATGCGAGCAGTAGATTCAATATAATCACAAATCTCACTATTTTATTCTCTGTTTCATGTTGCATTTGCGCGGTAACTGAGATTAGCAAGATTTTGAAGCTTCAAGCGGTCTCATGTTCGATTTCTTGATTTGAGTTGGATATGATTGTGCAGGGTGCTCGACTCAACTCTCAACGGTTGACAACTGCGGCTAAACCAGAATGTGCAACCCCGAAATTTTTTCCTGACAAGGCACACAAGTTTATTGTTGTACGTGTATTGTTGCGGCTACATTCCAGCGTTTTCTGTAAGTTGAAAATCGAGTTTTGTGGTGCAAAAGGGCGAAAACCCTATGGTGAGGTTGGAGTCTGATTGTCAATATCAGCGATTACGCGGAGTTTACGAAAGCGCTCTTCACCTTGTCTATTCAAAAAGGCTAAGTGTATTTCATGACTGTCATTTAAAATGAACGCGGGCTTGAAAACTCCTCAAACCAGCTGTTTGTTGACGCAGTTTGACTTCTGATGCCTTTGGAAACGAAAAATGCGAAGATCATCTTTCCTTGTAAATCTGCATGACAGGTCCTAGGTGCTGCAAAAGTTTCATATTCTGGGATGTAACTCAACAAAAAAATTTGGGATTCAAGGAATGTGATAATGTTTAGAAAGGCCAGGTGTCCTTGTAATTATGTCCAGCTTGCAAAACAGGCTTTTTCGAATTTTTCCATTTTTCTCCGTTCGAAATCAACGGGATTGGAAGCCGTTCTGAGGAGTTATGGCAGGCTTACATGCGCAACATACAGCAAAGTTTCAGACAGAATCACTGACAAGAACGAAAATTACGACGATTTCTAGAGCGTCTACATAATTATGTCCACACTGTATGAAATCTTCGAAATAGAAGAAAGCAAAGAGTTTTTTCGACATCTTCTTCAGGATTTAATGAATCGCTCAACTCTCGCGAATTTTAACAAATGACAAAGTGGTTCTGCAAACTCAAACGGTTATGGCCAACTGTACCAGTTTAAATTTATAAATTGCTTCAATAACAGAGATGGCCAACTTCAGTCGTTAGTTCTATTTCAATACATTTATGCTGTTGCAAAAGTGGTTTATGTAGACTTGCTTTTTCAATAAAGATTTAGTTTATGCTATTAGAAGTGAAGTTTCATACGTGCTGTCCTTTAAGAGTCAACAAATTCATTGGCTTATGACTGGAGTTTTTGATAGTAACATATGCGCTCTTCATACACCGTCCTGACCATAGTATGTAGGATAGGGTAGAAAACTAAGGGCTGTTATCTCAACGATAAACCAATTACATACCACTTTCATGTTTATTTGATCTTCCACCTCCACCTCTTGACAAATTTATCGTGGTCCCAAAATTTCTTTCCGTCAACTACAAAAAGGGAAATCTAGACCTGCTAGAAAAATTTCTCTGTGAAAGATGAAAAAATTACTTAACTCGGCTTGACTCACACTTTCGAGACTTTTCACTATAAACGGTCAAGTGCTGTAAGTTAAGTGCTTAACAAGTACGTACTTATGTTCCCCGCTCCAATTTATGGCACCAAATAAAACAATTTAAGTAACTTTGATTGCGCACGCTTGAATTGAAACATCTGACACATCGCTCACGTGCGCGGAACTTCCTTAAAAGTGCAATTTCACAAAATACCAGGCTGAGCAAAGGTCAAGGAAAAACACACAGAAAATTTGACGCTAAAACATGAACGAATTGCATGTGTAAATAATGGCGCTTGTAAGGATGACTTTTCCTAGCATCACACATCACTTCGCAATTAGTTGTGTGAAAACATGTACTGCATACTTATCGCGTTCCACACATTCACGTTGTGTGGTTACACACATTACACAATTCACGGTCCCAAGAATGCTGTTACAACCATAGCAGCAAGGTGCAGATACTTGTAGGAAGTACTTAAACTTCCGTTTTCCAAATGCAATATGCGGAAGGTATTTGTTTTCGAGGTGCATCGTTCAAAGGGCAGTGACATTTCCTGTATGACTCACACAATGTTCGCTAAATGGCTGTAACATCTTTTTACCCTTATAAGTAGCAAAAATTAGTTTAATGCTATGGAGCAGGAAAATCCTAATAAGTCATAATCATGATAAATACTGTTCATGATCACTTCAATTTCGCAAGTTTAAGCAAAAAATGTAGTCGAACTGGCAAAAAACTGAACTGTAATGATAAGCTACACACTCGATTATAATTGAAGATAGATGTAAGATTATGTAAAATTCTGCAAAGTGTGATCGCTGCTCCTCTGCTCCAAATTAGTGAATTCAATCAGTCAAATAACCTATATTGAATAAAACTTCCGACTTGCTGCACTTAAACGCTGCAAATTACAATCTCTGTACTCGGACAGATTTGTTATGAAATAGGTTTACATAGTAAGGAGTTCAATTAACTGACTTACGTGATCTCCCTCTAAAATCTCATTGTTTCGTAGTCTGCTACTTCGCTGGACCCATGTTCTAGTTGAGATGTGTTCATTCTGTACCAATTTGTACTCTCAAATCAAGAAAATTGACAATGTGTACTATAATTGCCACACCCATCACTGAAAATATGACCTTTGTAGCAGCGTGACCACGAACCGCATCTCAAAGTCCCATTTTTATGGTCTATAACCGTTCCGCATGCTTCCCACGACCCGCGGAATGCTTTGCTGGACAGCGAGATACATCCATCAATTATCATTATGAATTAAAATTCTGGGTATATCTGAACTTCAGACATTGCTGTACTTTGAAAGAGGATGTTTACTCTGTAACCAGCATGCTAGACCCCTTCTTGAAGAGGTCTCGAGAATGCCGAAGACTATAGGTTTTGCTGGCAGAGAAGTCCGTAGTACTTCGACGACGCGGTGGGCAAGTTTCTATCATGATGAACCAGCTTTTTGGCACATGAACTTCAGCTGATTTGTCGAATGTGAAAGATAATTCATTATAAAACCATTTCACTCTTACGACGAAACACGTACGATTCTTGTCTGTCATCGTTTATCAACTTAAGAAGTATTTCGTAAATCAGACGACAACCGATTTCTATATTTATCGTAATAATTGAGCGTACCGTCGCCAAAAAACAAAATAGAAAAAAGAGGGGTCGTCTTAACTGCTGTAAGCAGTTGCGGATTAGAGAGCTTGCTAGGCGATTGCAAAGCATTTGCGTGGGTCACCATAAACATTCGGCTTTACAAGTGAGAGGATGTGATGTAGCGTGAATAAACTTCGTTATTGTGCAATTGCTGAGTTGGCATTGTTGATGCAGTCTAACGAAAGAATGCCAGATATCGAATACCATTCTATGCATATGCAAACGCTAAGTTTGAATATGTCTTACGTTTCAACCAAATGTCATTGTAGGCGAAGTTATGAACAGTTTTATTGCAAAGACACTGCACATAAAAAATGCAAAGTTGATCACATTATTGCTTTTTCAGCTACCTTTAGGTATGTGCTATTTCTGTATTTCTATTTATTTACTCAACGGTGTATGAGGCCATGATGATTTGAATAAGGCTTCGTTAGTTGTGGATGTAGAGGTACTTGAGATATCGCTCCACTGACGAAGTTTCATAGCTTTTTGACCTGCTGCAAGCTCCAATGGTTAGAAGTTCGCGAGGGGTTCGCTGGACATTCTTTGACTTCCGTGCAAGCATCGCAGATAAACCAGCCACGGTTTCTTCCAACGATACTCCTTCACTTCTAACCTTGATCGTTGGATAGATCAGAGCCAAAAGTTAGCCGACCACTCGCGGAAGAATGAAGACAGAACTCCATAGGCTGCTGCATGACGAACGCGCAGTATCTTTGAGCGCGAACGCGGCTTTATTGGCGGCAGAGCGCTTTAGGCGCAGGATTTACAACGGTGAGGATACGCGCGCGCCGCGTTTGCGCCCGCTTAACAGTTACTGCTTTTGCGCCTTCGTCGTGCAGTAGCCTTCAGGTGTATGTGAATAACTAGCTGCATGTTTCTGGCGTCATCCATTCAATTATCGCTCGATCTCAGCAGACAAAGCTGTAAAATATTGTTCAAACGTAGACTGAAAGCGATATAACATGTTTTATTTCTATATAGACACATATTACAATATTGTTACTACATCTCACTGTTTTAGTTGTGTGACTTTCAACCTTTCCACAATAGAGACGTCTTCGCACTCCTTGAGGGCGGGGCCGACGGCGCACCCTCGGTGCCGCCTCCGAGCGATGTTATATTTAAAGCCGTTCCACATCAACGAATCCTAGGACTGGTCAATTCTACCTGGAATAAATATTCGCTACACTATCGTGTAATCAAGTCTACCATAAACTCCTCTAACCTACTATAATGTCGATGAGAAAAGGATTCTTCACAAAGCTGATGAAATTAGTCGGCCGAGGAAGTAAGTTTATTTTGCTGATTTCTCAAATAGTTATACAGACATTCTTAATTGTAAACAGTACAGTCAAGCACTCTTAAACTTCTTTGAATTTATTCTTTACCAATCGGTTACTAAACTATTGCTGTCCTGCCGCTATATTAAAGTTTTGATGTTTCTCTACGAGCTTTTAAGCGTTTCCATTACCGTTCATCTTCAAAGGCTTTTACGTTTTGTTGAACTCTTTCTAATCATATTTTGTAGAAAACTTATCAAAATCTAAGTTGCGTTTTATAGTTTATGGCTAGCCGTCATGAATAACATCTATCCATTCTCATCTCAATTTCGCGACCTCTGTCAAGTCAATGAATCTGATTGATTCATAGCGGTTGTGAAATTATCTCTTGTGAGAAAAAGTTAACGACATGATTGGGCTGTACTGTAATGTTTACTAGGGTGCGGCTAAACTTGCACTTCAATGACCTATGTCATGAGGCGAAAGTGTGGGCGTTTAAGGGAAGCGTGAGTGTTCGATGTTCATTAATTGAAATTCTTCTGATTCATGTACTCCTACAAGAAGAAGAAGGCACACCCTGTTTTACAATTATAGAATCCGTTGTGCTCATTTGCTAACATCATTTTCCCAGAAGTGAGATATCTGCTCTGCTGACTTTTCAAAATTCCAACAATACTTGCACTTTCATGCTAGACTTAAATATCAGAAAAATGTGAACCGAAAATCCGAACGAAAAAACCGCCAGTAAAAAGTTCATTGTCAATGCCATAATGATTTGTTAAACTTATGTAGTCTTTCCAGATCAGGTTCAGTCTTCGAGAAAGTGTCTGGCACAACTATACGAACAGCGAAAAAAGCAAGGACAACGGTCAGTAATTTCCCTATTCCTACTTTCAAACTTAAATTTTTCACTTTCTGTATGGTATGTACAAATTTACAAAGTCTAATACTTAGCTCAGTTGCAGATCTTCGATGTCGTCACATTTGAGCCAAATTGAACCTATGCCTACAATTCTGGAAGAGGACGAGTCAGCTTTAAACGCTTATTGATGCTCAGAAATGAGGCATCTTCTCACTAGATTCCAATAACGGCTACGATGTGCATAACATGAAATGATCTCCCTCCAAAAAAAGAAAACGGTTAGTTTGTTATCGTATTACTGAGATATTTATTGAGCTTAGTCTACACAATGAAAGTGCAAAAATTTCTTTCAGGGTTTTCCTGATCTCAACTCTCGCGATCTCTACATATACAGCAAAGTCAATACTGCAAACACTGCACGATGTAAAAGACTACTGTTAGACTGAATGACAACGGTACCGGTTTGGAGTGTGAGACTGCTGCAAAACATGTTATAAATTTCTCTTGATTGCTGTTCTGCTTGTATATGCTGGTCTTTTACGTGTATGGTATTCTATGAAGTAACTTTCACCGATTATTTCTTGGTGGAATAATGTTGCTACAAATCCACAAATTTATATTATTTTGCTGTTAGTTTTCGTGTTAAGCAGTGACCGAAGTTTTCCGAGCTGGATTTGCCAGCTAGTATAAAATAAAACAATTTGCATGTTTCTTAAGCTTCACGTACAGTAAAACTAAAGGCAATGCTGTGCATATATGATGAAACAGATTAAGCCCTGCCACTTATAAGCACACAAACTCGCATTAACACAAAAATCAGTTCTGCTTCAGTATTTTGTCTGTAATGTTTTAGACTAATGCCAATTTCAGGTGTACAATCTGAAGAAAGAAACGTATAAGCTTCAATACCTTTCTCAACAGATATGAGGTGCATAGTAGAACATTCCTCCATCACTGCGCATTAATTTCCTTATATAGAAAGCTTTCGCGGATCTTGGACTCCATACCGAGTACAATAGCGGACAACGTCTTAATTAGATTAAAATCTCCGAAATCCTTAGTTTGAGGTCTTGGTTTTCTTTGGAATCTTTTAGAAGCCATCTCGTCTGTCAAATGCCTAAAATGAGTCGGAAATTTATACCGTAATCCTACAGTAACTAAGAGAAATCGGTGGTTCGCTCTGTACTGTAAACAAGTTGAAGCTAGCCCTACCGTATGGAACCCGAAGACCCGCGAAAGCTTCCCATATAAGGAAGTTATGAGATCAAATGTTCGGTAGATTTTTGGGACACCTTGTAATATCCATAAAAACATGTCATTTTTAACGCTTCAAGGGGTGCTAAACAAAAAGGCTATATATTCTTAGTTTTTTTCGATTTTTTCACTTAGTATGGAAAGAAAAGGCCTCCCACTAGACACGGAAGGCAGGCACAATCACAATTATTGGAATAAACGTACCCGTACTTGTTAATAAAGTTGTGTCAAGAAATCCAATTCTCTATAGATTATTGACTTAATTTCCTCTAATGTAAGAATCTACAAGAGATTAAAAAAGTTAGTAGAAAAGTTTTTTTATTATCTGCCAAGCGCCTCTGAACATAGAATTCGTTTCGAAGCGAAAGAACGCATTAGCTAAAATCAATTGTTAGCGTCTTTTTAGCGTTCAAATAAAACAATGTCGGGTATGAGTATATTATAATGAAGGTCTCTATTACAAGAAGTGGTCTGATATTCAATGCTGAGCCATTAGAGCAAATCAGGATGACTTTCTTTTAGTGCCTGCATTACCTAAACAACTCTCAAGATTAGACTCAGGGTTTCCTGGCAGACTGCAAAAATAGATTTGGAGTCATTATCCATGCTCCTCGAAACTGGTGAAGATTTTATCTTCAAAGTTCATTAATGAAGACACTTTTCTTGTGAGAGTCAAAGTTCGTTAAAGTAAATGTAATGACCACGCTAATTTCTTCCGCATCTTTTTTTCCTGGTCGCTCTATGCGATGAGAGCAAAGACAAAAACGCGGAAGAGGGTAATAAGAACGTGAAATATGATACACGCTCTATTATCGCTACGACTGCCCTACGCTTCAGATTCCATGATTATTACCGAACGGTGAGTGAGAAAACCTGTTTGCTGTACTAAACCCAGAAAAAAAACTTGATAAGGTCTATCACAATTCGCGGTTCAATGATGCTTAGTCAATCAGGTTAAGATTAATAGACTTTTTTGTTGGATTATGACATGTGTACTTTGACATCGTTGATGATGTATGCTATTAAAACGAAATGTAAGCGAAGATAATCAAGGACGCTTGATGAGCCAGTTTAGAGTGAAAAAACTCTGGGCAAAGTTTGTCTTCCATTTCCTTAGGTAACTAACAATGTAAGGGAGGGGGCTTTCAAGTAAAGGTGCGGTGGGTTATTCACACACTCCGAAAAATTCTTCAGAAAGCTTTTCAAAATGTTTGCGGGCTCATAACACTGAAGAAAATTACAAGGCCGACTTATTTTGTTATTTTTATTATTTAGAAAAGCAACCTACTCTCACTCCCTCATTCCGCTCCTCCAAATTACGATCTGGAATTGCGATTGCAGTTCCATTCGATTACTGAACAGAATTCGTATATATATTTTTGAAAATTGTGTAAAAAAATAGCTTTTTCCAGGATGTCCATTCGAATTTGAGCATGTGCATAAATTTCACTGAAAATTTTTTTCTATTGAACGTGCATAATGTTCAAAAAAATTACATATTGAAGTGTTCGACTTTCTTTTCCGAATTTCACACATATGAATTTTCGATTTTGCCCTGCTACTATCTATCCACTTTTTTGGTTTTATTGAAGTGCCCAGGTAATCAAGAAAAAGAACTTGTAACAGATTTTGCTAGAGTATTTTCAGCTTCGAATTCCTCAAAACTGTTATTGATAGAAAGTTATAGACGCTAACTCTTTATGTTGACCTTGTAAAAGCTTTAAGAGAACAAATGCCTGCAGGAATGTTCGTACCCATTGTCTCTCGATGTACACTCAGCTTTACGCTGCTCTAAAAACAACCAAGCCGGTTCTCTTCCGCGTACAAAGGCCTCAGACCTTTCAAAGGTGAAGGCCGTTCGGCTGCAACATGTGGCCTTTCAATTCCAGTTTTTATGCTTTGAAAATACTTAGACAACAAAGCATTATGATCAAAGGGACTTCCCTTTTGTAATTTTATGCAGTGATGATACTGAATATCTCAGTTTAGTCTTGCTCTATATAAAAATGGTTTGAGCCAATCATAAGATTCTTGAATTTATGCAGAAAAATCTTGATTTCCGAAGCTGACATTAGATATATCATTTGAACACTTATCCCCTTCTATAATGTTTTCAATAAGTAGCATTGAACAAGGTAAGTAAAACATTCTCATTCTTGCTTTTCTGAGATCGGAAAGGGATTTACGTCAGAAAATCTGAAGCGAAAAATAGTGGAAAGATGCAATAAAACAATATGCACAATCTCGCGAATACTCCATTTACGACCGGTCAACACACAAAACTCAAGGTTAATAATCATAACAGTCGCCAACCATCGTGACATAGTAAATTAGTGAACATGGTTTCGAAATGGCAATCAAAGCCAATTTTTTTTCAAACTTTCTAATCATTTCAGAAGTACATAAGTGCCAACTACATTTGAAGGCGAATCTTCTTATAAATGCTTGGTTCCTTTATGGCGGTAACCCAGGTATTCTATAAGACTCCGAACAACCTCAGCCATATTCTTTTACCACACTCTTATGAGTGACAACAGAAGCAATAGATAAGATAGGAGCATGACATAAATGTCGGAAATAATCATGACTCAATTTTTGAGTTTAGTTTTATTTTTTAATTAAGTCAAATTGCTCCTGTGTTATGCTGTACAAATGCAGATGGACGAAAACTTCTCACTTCCATTAGTCCTAGCAAATGTATGGTGAAAGAAAAGTTGAATCTTGATAAAAGCCAATGTGAACGATCGATTTCTAAGTCACTTTATGGTAGTCATAGCTCATTCACAATTACGCCAGCTATTTGCGGTAACTAATACGGTTGTCACATGTTACCTTGTATAGCCTCTTACGTCACATCCACCCTTTTCGTAGACAGAAAGACGATAGAGATCCATTAACCGGAACGATATTACGTGAGACTATATCGTACCGTGGTTTCAGGAGTCATAAGTGGAAAATTGAAAGGAAGGTGGCTTGTTCGCGCTTTGACAAGGAATTAGGCACATAGTTCAAACCCCCTTTTTTTCCTATTACTTAATAAAACCTTTCTTTCTATCTAGTACTCTGTTCACACTTGCAGGCCTACTCAAATCTACTAGATCCAATCTTGTTTTTGATCTTTTTCTTTCAAACTCACACAAACTGTGTTTTATGATAAGAGGCGCAAAATTTAGGCGTTCATATAAAAGCTTCATCCATTGCATTAAACAGATATCATCATTGATTCGCAGCGGAGTAGTGTTCGTAAGTTCGAAAAAAAAAACCGCGGCGATTGCCGGACATCGCCGAAAATGGCCTCACACCGCCATATGTCACTTCAGTATGTACAGAATTCTAAATCCGAAGACGCCGCTCAATCAGTTTGACAAGGCGCATGTTATGTTTGTGTCTGTCTGCTGGATACGGCATAGACAGTCGTTTGTAGCTTACAAAGGAATTGTCAGAAATCGGAGTGGCCAAGCTGCACACCGTTAGAAGTAGCTTAAAACGCTGACTCCAAATCTGTCTTCCTTATCTGCGGAACACTTTTGTGAACGAAGTCGATAAGAAATCGTCCGTGTAATGCAAATCTGGATGCACCCATGTTCTGCTTAATGCTGGACCAAAACATTTAGCTAGGTTAGGTCATACGATTTACACCTAAAGCTGAGCTAAAAGCTCAACAATGTGCTTGATTCTGCAATTTTTATGTACGATTTTTCTCAGTTAGACTGCTCATAACTTTGTCTACAATGGTGTTCTGCCGATGATGAAGACAGTTTTAACTAAGGGTTCTATGCTGCAGTGAATGGTATGCAGCTTGTTTGGAATGGCCACTTCTACTTCTGACCATTCCCTTGTTAGGATGTTGAGTGCTGACTTTGCGCCCACAGGAGCAGAAAAACACTCATACGAAAAGGCACTTCAATCTCTCAGCTCAGTCACTTTCTATGCCTAAATACTATTATATGTGAGCAGATAAACCATTCGAGCAGAGGTGAAGAGCAAGAAAATGCAGTTGGTGGGAGTGCGTACGCGTCGCGAGGGCTGCGCCATCGTCACGATTTTTCGAATGCCCTATGGATTCATAGCAATATCTTAAAATCTCTTCAAACTAAGCCTTTCCTAAATAGAAAATAGTCATTTTGTCATGACAGTGACAACAGTTCTTTCAGTTAATTCATTCTCACAAGGGAAGTCACTTAACTTAAGTCGGCCTTTTGAAATGAGACACATATGTTTAGAATCAGCTCGGAACGCTGATTCCCAATATTTTCTCCGAAGCGAGTTATGAGCTTTTTAACATGTGTTATTGACATACAACTAAATATGGAAAAAAGGCCTGTAGACGGAATCTACTCCGAAAAAATGATGGAAAATCGAAATAACATCAAAATGAGCCATTTAGCCTTGATAGAGTGTACTAGGCATTTGAACCATTACCTAGATGATAATATCGTGGCATCTGTAAGGCGGTCATCACGCAAGCCTTGCTCAGGAAAAAGCTCATAACTCGCTTCAGAGAAACGCTTCGCAGCTAAGGACAGCATATTTGGAATCAGCGTTCCGAGCTGATTCTAAAAACATGTGTTTCATTCCAAAAGGCCAACCTAAGTTAAGTGACTTTCCTTGTCAGTATAATATTCAAAGTAAACATGAACTTGAATTGAATTTGTCATGAAACAACTCATGGTAAGAAGTAATAAGCGTTGTCGAGTTTGTCAAACCATCACAAAACTCAGGGATAATATCACTGCGTTTGAAAATGCGCAGAAGAAATTCCATGTCGATTTGTAGCTTTTCACAAATCCGACAAGCCGCAAATACGCGGTTTTTATGTGGTTTTGTCAATGTTTCGTAAAGTTTTGAGAAAGCAAAAATAGCATACGTTTCCTTGGCTCGCAGCTTGAAGATTAACGCGAAATGGTGAACTGCGAAATATCAAGACACAGTTGCAGAAATTTGTTCATTTGCATAACGGAAGTGCTAATGTATGAGCTTCCCCTTTTTTGATTTCAGAAATTTATCTTATGATGCAAATGAAAAAGTTTCTTACCTAATTTGAGATGTTTTGAACTAGAGGCAATGGCTCCGGAAAATTGCGACCGCGGGCTTTTCACGACTACATGGCCTTCTGGACCAGCTGAGTCCGGTACTGCACTTGAAAGGTCAAAAAAGTGCTTTTTTTGGCGTTTCCGGGCCTTGGAGATCGCTAAAGGGGGGGGGGCGAGGGATTCACCCCAAAAGAAGCAAGCTGCTGGAGGCTGTGACTCCAGCTATTTTGGCGGCTTGGCTGATCAGCCTAGGCAGCCATCGCGATACAGTTTGTCGCCAAAATATGTGGAGTTACAGTCTCCTACAGCCGGTTGCTCATTTTGGGGTGAATCCCTCCTTCCGCCGCCCCAGCAATTTCCAAGGCCCGGAAACGCCAAAAAAGCACTTTTTTGACTTTACAACTCAGCTGATCCAGAAGGCCATGTAATCTTGGAAAGCCCACAGTCGCAATTTCCCCGAGCCACTGCCTTTAAGGTAGTACCACTCGTATATTCGGAGCGATGCGCACTGCTAATACTTAGCAGCTGTATTTTTCCAACCAGTTGATAAGTTTTTGAGATTCGTACTTGCGCAATCAACCCATCCGAAATTTATCTACTGCGCTGACAGAACATTTGACAACGTTTCCGAATTATTCGGCAATATTTCCAAATCGTTTGACAGCTCTTCCACATTGTTTGACATCTCCGAGTTTTTTGAAGCTATGCTGATCAATGAACCATCCACAAAGTCAACAAATTGGCGCAGGAACTTGAAAAACTTTCCAGTCACAAAAATACAGGAAGCTTCTTTCTTTCCCCAGATGCAACCAAACGGTATCTGCTGTATCGGTCCTACACTCACTGGTGGATGCTACAATTAGTTTCACTAGTTCGCACAACAAAAGCTATTGTATTCAAGAAATTTAATCATACAAGAAGCGTAAAATTCACTTTACCTCCGGAATTTTTTCAAGCTTTCCCTTCAGAAATTGCGAAACTTTGTCCTTCTTTCTTGAAAGAAACCTCCTAAAATTCTATGAAGCCTTATAAAAACGATAATAAAATATAATTGCTCGTACTTGACGAGTTTCTGATGGAGAATAATTATTCCAGGAAGATTGTAGTCCATCGCTACTCTCAGCACTTTTGAAAGCCGGCAGAAGTATTTCTGAAAAGTTGTCTTTGCATTTTACAAAGAATTGGCTTGCTTTTCCAAGCTGCTTTGTTCAAAGCTGAAATTCAATTAGTATAAACTAAGCGATGTGTAAAAGAATTTGCGTTAAAATTTTGTTTTTACAGCAGCGGTTTTTTTGTCCTTTTTGTCTCAAAAGTGATTTGCGCCATTTTGCCTAGGATATCACGAATGTTTCAAAAATACCACATGCTATTCAAACCAACTTGCAAAAATTGATTTTTTGGAAGCTGCAATGAGTCTTCACATGAATAAGAGCAGATGAGAACCGAGCTGAAGAAAAAAATCACTCAAGTTTCTTTTAGAGCTTATTCGAAATTTTTGAATGGTATAAAATCCGGAACCCTTATTAGTATATCCTACAACCTAATCTTTCTAAGCGAAGAGTAGTGGATTACCAATGTCTGTGCCACGCTCATAGCACGAGCCAAGCTTCATGACTAAAAAAGTTAAGCAATTTTTCAAAATTATATGCTGCTTACATGATATCCATTTTGTAGAAAATTTCCTTCTTCACAAACTTTGCTGACATAAGTCACGAAACTTTTATTGTTTACTGTTACAAATTACCACAACGTTGTAGATTTGTAGTGACATTAAGAAAGTTTAAAGCCCGAACAATCTCCGATTTTTGCCTCTACTATCAGCTCCTGGTAGAGAGGAATTGTTGAGTTGCTATAAAGCGCCTTTACTTTTTCGAATGAAATTAGGATCTTTAAACTGGTTAAAAATGCAAAAAATGACTAATTTTGTTGACATCGCAGTACTTCAAAAAGAACCTACCAGACGAGTTGCATTTGTGCGTATCCTTGCTTGATTGACTCTGTTCTGGAGCTTTATATTCAGTTCGTCACCTGGTGGTAACAACTTACACTTGTTTTTGATGTATTTTGACAGATTAAATTGAAAGCAGAGCGTTACACCGAATACAGCCTAAATTTTATGTGTGTGCATGGTTCACAGGTTATAAGACGCATTCAGTGATATTCACAGCACTTACACCAAGGAGTAGAGCGCGTCTCATTTTTAGGTTAAGACAGCTTTCATACATTCCTTATATACCGCTTGAGGATGATTAATTTACCGTAATTTTGGAGTAATTGGAGTAATTAAGGTTGTAGGTGTATTCAAAACATTAACATTCAAATGCCATGTAATAGTGCATTGGACCTTTTCAAATTTAGTCAAAACAACGTAAGTAAAACAAAGTTCGCCTGCTCAAAACGAATTTCATCCGAATTGGTAATTAAACGAAACCAGCTAGCATACCCGGCTCAGCCCGGTCCTTTCAAACCACCATGATAAGGGTCACCTCCCTATCCTGTACAACCTTTCCCACTTCTACATGCCAGTTTCCTAACCCCGTATTGTTTTCCTAATCAATTGCTTACCTATCCCCTGTGCCAACTCCAGCCCCATAGCTCAAACTTTGCAAAAAAAATCGATAAAATCGACAAAGGTAATTGACCATTTCACGAAACGGTATTGTACTCGTAATCAGCATACTCACTTACCCCCCCCCTGGCCAATCCCTAGCCTTATACCCCAAACTGTACAAGAAAATCGATAAAATCGATAGAAGTAGTAAATGATGCTAAAACTAATTTTATTTGTGATCAGCATAATCACTTACATCCCCCCTGTGCCAGCTCCCAGCTGCGTAGTTCAAACTTTGCAAAAAAATCGATAAAAATGATCGATCGATACCGAAAAGTAGCCTATGACACCCGCCCCATCCCGAAGTCTACGTGTGCAAAGTTTGGTCCGGATCGGTTCAGAAATGAAATTTTCTTTCAGAAACATACGTACAGACATACAGACATACAGACAGGCAGACAAACGGACATTCAGCTTTATTCGCCGGTTGCCGAGTGCAGTGTGCAGTCTCACGGATTAAGCTATACATGCCTCGCCCATATTTAATCGCATACTTTACCTGCGTGATAGGGTACTTCGGTTTTTACCACAAAACTTTCTATACAGTATGAATTAAAAGTATTCTCAGTTTGAAAACACCAAACTGGTAACTTTCAACCTAACTCGCAGTGTTTCCTTCCTTGTTTTTTCAAATAAAAAGTTTTCCCAAAAGTGTGTATAATGTTTGTCGATATTGATCTCTGGCTTCAGCGTAACGGATATTTAGGAATCATTTCGTTGAGTTAACTTCAATTCTTTACTGCTTGGTAAGAGTACCTATCGCTCCACGTTACTGCAGGCAGGATTACTGTAGGTGCTTTTAGCGAACTCACCATTGGAGATAAGGCGTTTGTTTGAAAATATCCAAAAAAATTTTTGAAAATTGTGTAGCTGATTTTTCACGCATGCTGATACAGCTTTTTACAAGTCTTCTGTGCTTTTGACGGTGTAAACAAACTTTAAAAGCCGTTGGAAAAACTGTTGCAACGGTTTACCTAAAACAATTTATGGAAGAGCTTGACTGTGATGCGCAAATTTTTATTTGAAATCAGCAATGTTTATTACTTAGTATAAGAGATTATGGCTTACTGGATTGCAAACTCGCGTACTGTAGATAATAATCCCGTAATCAGCATGCTCACCTACCTCCTGTGCTAACTCTCAGCCCCGTAGCTCAAACTTTGCAAAAAAATCGATAAGATCGATATCGATCGATAAAAGAAACCTACGACACCTGCTCAGCCCGAAGTATGGGTGTACAAATTGGTCCGAATTGGTTTAGAAATAAGATTTCTATTTGGAACACACACATATACGCCCACACCTACACATACACATAACATACACATGCACATACATACACAAACGTATGTACACATACACATACACATACACACATACAGACATTCAGCTTTATACAGGGTGTTCCAAAAAATGTATCGAACGTTTGATCTCCAATAACCACCTTATATGGAAAGCTTTCGCGAATCATTGGGCGTGATACGGTAGAGCTGGATTCAACTTAGATTTACAGTATAAAGCGAATCACAGATTTCTCTTAGTTACTGTAGGATTATGATAGGAATTTTCGACTAATTTTAAGCTTTATACAGTCGAGAACTGCTTCTAAAAAAAGTCCAAAAAACCCGAAGGACGCTAAACTAAGATTTTCGGAGATGTTGAATCTAATTACAAAGTCTTCCGATGTCGTACTCCTCATCTTCCTAGAGTGTGCGCACTACAACGCTAAATTTTCTGGCTTTTTTTCGAAATTTACTAAATCAACGTTGCAGCTACAAACACGTCGTCAGAAGTCGTCGTCGCCAAAAATTCAGCGTCACAGTGAGCATATTGTAGACAGACGAGGGGTATGATAGCGGAAAACATTGTAATCAGATTCAGCATTCCTGCGAAAACCTCAGTTTAATATTTCGCTTTTTGGATTTTTTTAGAAGCAGCTCTCGCCTGTCAAAAGTCTAAAATTAGTCTAAAATTCCTACCGTAATCCTACAGTAACCAAAAAAATCGGTAATTCGCTCTATACTGTAAATCTAAGTTGAATCCAGCTCTACCGTTTCACACTCAAAAATCTGCGAAAGCTTTCCATATAGGAAAGTTATCAATGATCAAACGTTCGATACATTCTTTTGGGACACCCTGTATATAAGGCTTGGTTTCCTTTCCGAGGCAAAATGCAATTTTCAATGGCTTAGAATCCTCTCTAGAGTTTCTATCGTAACCCTGTACTGTCATACAAGTCACTACTGACACAAGTCAGTAGATAAGTAAGTTCTGCCTTTGCTCAGTGTGTATCGCGTGACGGTTTGGTTACCCAGTCCCGGGTTAAACCGGGTACGCCAGCTGGCAGTAACTGTAAACAGAGTAATGAGCCACTTCATCAATAATACTCGAACATCGACAAAAAGCTTTGAAGCAAGAGAGTCATTGACGACTATACAGTGTGCAATTCTTTTATGACACCCTATAGATAATCCATGCCATATCTATACTATCATAATGCTTACGTTGTCATCTATCACAAAATTCAGTAATGAATAATTTGCGGTATGGGCAAACGAGAGGTTCAGCTATTCTTGGGAATACATCGCAGTCAGTAGTTCAAGCTTTGCAGACTGTTTACTTTGATTGGTAATTTATACGGATGTTCCGTTATACAACAGAGCAATTCCATTTTTCCGTAGAGGCTGCGCTGACACTATGTAACTCGACAAAGAAACAAAAAGCCAATATCACGTTGCCTTTAGATTCACTTTCATGTTTCGCGTGAGTGGGAACAAAGCGGCTCAAGCACTAAAAATATCACATCTCCATGGTTGAAAAAAAGCTGAAGAATAACTTGCCCGGTTGTTGACGCTCCATATAACTTCAGCTATATTCTAAACAAAATTTTTTCCGTTGCAATACCTCTGCTACTTCGCAGATTTAGCCTCAATGAGGCTGGTGTTAAGACCAGGATTAAACATGAGGAAGCCTTCGAGTACAAGGTTTTTTTTCAAAAATTATGACGTTTCGCTTTAGTTATGCCGAGAAATAGCGTTGATAATTTGCAACAAGCAAAGATAAGTTTAGCGTAGAACGGAAGTCGAAAATAGTGTGACAAAAACAGCGGTAAGCTGAAAAGGCAGTTCTCAAAATACATACTATACATATTCGAAGCTAAAGGAGGGAATTTAGCCCTCCTTTTCCACTAGTTAAAGTCGCTTGCAGCGAAATGAATCAAAGAGAAAAACTGTCTCCAAACGGCACGTGCTGGGCGACTTGCGGTTGCTTCATGGACATATTAGGTCGTTGCATAAGTTCGTAGCGTTTTCATTTTCGTCCTCACTTCTTTGCGGAGAGGTTAATATGTGGCAAAATGCGTATATCATTAGGAAGGGCTGATTATGCGCTTCACTATGTACCTGCTAATTTGAGTGGAAAGCTAATCTACTCGATCTCTTGAATTCCAAGTATGGGAATCCTAAAAGGCAAAAAGAGCAATTTGAGCATTCGCGCATTCT